TGCTGTGAGCTGTGATGCCATAGCACTTTATAGAGGGCGACATAGTGAGACTTTGTCTCAAAAAAAAAAAAAAAGATTGCTTTGCTTTCCAGAAGTTTTGTATCTGTTTACACTCTCAGAAGTAGTATGTGAAGGTTCTGTCTCCCTGGCTTTGTTAAGTAACATAATTTAAAAGACAACTTATTGATTTGATGGAAGTGGGGACAGACATGGTATCTCACTGATTTAACAAACATGTCTTTTTTTCTGGTAAAGCTGAAATGTTATTTATTTATTTATTTATTTATTATTTTGAGACAGAGTCTCAAGCTATTGCCCTGAGTAGAGTGCTGTGGTGTCATAGCTCATAGCAACCTCCAACTCTTGGGTTCAAGTGATCCTCTGGCCTCAGTTTTTCTATGTTAGTAGAGATGGGGTCTTGTTTTTGCTCAGGCTGGTCTCAAACTCATAAGCTCAAGCTATCTGCCTGCTTCGGCCTCCCAGAGTGCTAGCTTTATAGGCCTGAGCCACCATGCCTGGCCAAGCCTGAACTTTTAGAACTTAACTATTGATTATTTGAATATCCAATTTTGTGAACTGTTACTTTGTGGCATGTGCCCATTTATATTGGGATCTTAACATTTTTCTTATGAATTTGGAAGAGTTCTATTTTATTTAAAAAAAATATTTTTACCAATTTTTTACAATTTAAGTTTTTACATCAAACTTATTTTCAAAATGGAAATAGCTTTTTTCTTGATAATTAAAATAATGGGGCAAGGCTATACAGAAAGGGAAACCCTCATATCCTGTCAGTGGGAGTATCACTTGGTGCAACCACTATGGAAAATGATACAGAAGTTTATCCATAAACTGAAATAGAACTAACATATGACCCGGGAATCCCACTGCTGGTTATATATCCAAAGGATGGGAATTCAGTATATCGAAAAGATATCTGCACTCCACGTTGATTGTGGCCTATTTACAATAGCCACAATATGGAATTAATCTAAGTGTCTGTCAGTGGATGAATGGAGAGAGATGGTGGTATGGATACATGATGGAATGTTAAGTAGCCACAAAAAGAATGAAAGCCTGCTGTTTGCAACAACACGCATAGAACTGGGGAACATTATGTTAAATGAAATAAGCCAGCACAGACAGACCTTGCACGTTCTCATTCATATGTGAAAGTTGAATATTAAAAACAATTGATCTCATGGAGATAGACTAGAATGAGGGTTACTAGAGGATGGGAAGAGTAGTACAGGGAGATAAGTTGGGGATGGTTAATGGGAGCAAAAATCTAGTTAGATAGAATGAACAACATTTGATAGCACCACAGAGTGTCTAGAAGCAATAATAGTGGGTAGACTTTAAAATAACGAAAAGAGTAGAATCAGAATGTTCTTAACAAAGAGAAATGTTAAACCCTGAGGTGATGGACACCCCAATGATGTTGATTTTGATTAATTCATATTGTATGCCTGTATCCAAACTTCACATGTACCTCATAAAGATATACAATTATTATGAACCCATAATAATTTAAAATAAAACATTAAAAATAGGGGCTATCGTGGTAAAAAAAAATCACATACAAAGAAGAAAGTAAATATCTTCAACATTCTATCCCGTGAACTTGAACTAATGTTTTTGGAACATTTCTTTCCTAATTTTAATCCTATGTTTAGATGATAAGTTTTGAAGTTCAAAAATACATTTTTCTGGCTCGGTGCCTGTGGCTCAAGTGGCTAAGGTGCCAGCCACATACACCTGAGCTGGCGGGTTTGAATCCAGCCCATGCCCGCCAAACAACAATGATGGCTGCAACCAAAAAATAGCCGGGCGTTGTGGCAGGAGCTTGTAGTCCCAGCTACTTGGGAGGCAGAGGCGGGAGACTCGCTTGAGCCCAGGATTTGGAGGTTGCTGTGAGCTGAGATGCCAAGGCACTCTACTCAGGGTGACAGCTTGAGGCTCTGTCTCAAAAAACCCACAAAACCTTTTTATGTACCTCAAAACAAGCATTTTAAGGTTTCAATATATTCTCTAGTGCTTTTTGTGCTTAAAAAAGTCTTTCCAGTGTAGAGATCAGATAAAGAATCACCTTTTATAAAACAAGAGCCGTGGTTCTTTTTATGAAGGTATTATGTCATATTATAGAATATTTACAAAATTAAGGGAAAAAGGTCAGCCTTAATGCCTTGACCCTAACACATCTACTTCCGTTATGCATTGTTCTTGCAAATCTCTCATCACGAGCTTTTAATTTATTTTTCTGTGGCTACAAGGGTATTGTATGTATAATTTCCTGTGGTCTCCTTTTCACTCATAATTACGCCATAAGCATTATTTTTCATATTGCTACATAATCTCCGTAATGGTGTTTTAAATGATTCCTTAATGATGCCTCCTGCCGCTGTGCTGTCACCGCCGACCCTGTCCTGCAGATGAACATTTCCATTGCTCCCAATTTCTGTGTCAAGTGATATTTTGAAACACCAAAGTCCAGTGAAGCAGAATCTCCCGCTGTTCCCTGGGGGCTGACTGTAATAAGATTTGACTTCTGCTCTTTTCCTCAGATGAGTATTGGAAGGCATTACTTTCACAGAAGGGTTGGAAAAAAAACAAACATAAAGCCAGGAGGAAGAAGACCTGAGGTGAACACGTGCTGAGTGTTCAGGAGGAGGCTGCCTTAGAAACCCAGGCTGCTTAGGTTTTGCTTTTCTGACTCACAAACGGGGCAGGGGTTCATCACAACAATTTGCAGAAATGCTTTTTGCCCATGTAGTAGTTGCTGTTTTTGAGGGTTTTAGTAGAGGAAGGCCTGGGGCCGGATCTCTGCTTGTCATTTGCTGTGTGTGACCTTTAGCAGTGATGCAGCAGTTCAGCATCTGTCTGCAGAAGAGGCATTTAGTCAGCCCTGTGCAATCGTGGGTTAGGCGTCCATAGATCCAACCAATTGTGGATTGAAAAGGGCAGCGCCTGTGGCGCAGTGGGTAGGGTGCTGCCCCCATATACAGAGGGTGGCAGGTTCGAACCCAGCCCCGGCCAAACTGCAACAAAAAATAGCCGGGCATTGTGGCAGGTGCCTGTAGTCCCAGCTACTCGGGAGGCTAAGGCAAGAGAATCGCCTAAGCCCAAGAGGTTGGAGGTTGCTGTGAGCTGTGATGCCACAGCACTGTACTGAGGGCGACATAATGAATGAGACTCTGTCTCTAAAAAAAAAAAAGAAAAGAAAATATTCTGAAAAAAAACCCCAAAATGACAGCAAAATAATACAAATAGAAACA